GCAAACCGCAAATATTCCAACACAGTCGAAGCTCAAAAAATGACCTTAAAACTAATTTTATGAAGATGATAGAGGTCCTTAAAGAAATCAAGGAAAAGACAAACAGAAAATGGAGGAAATGAATCCCTTAAAGAAAGTGAAACCAAGAAAAAATATAGTTGGAGGAAATGAATAAAACTGTTCAAGACATGAGAAGTGAAATAGAAACATAAGGAAAACACAAACTGAGAAAATTCTGGAAATGGAAAATCTAGGTAAGTGAACAGAAATTACAAATTCAGGCAGCACCAACAGAATACAAGAGATAGAAAACATATTACCAGATGTTGAAGATACAATAAAATAAATAGATATAGCAGTCAAAAATATTACAATTAAAAACTTCCTGACACAAAACATTCAAGAAATCTTGGACACTATGAAAAGACAAAACCTAAGAATACTAGGAATAGTAGAAGAATCTCAACTCAAAGGCCCAGAAAGTATTTTCAACAAAATCACAGAAGAAATAATTCCTAAGAAGGACATGCCTATAAATGTATGAGAAGCTTACAGAACACCAAATATATTGGACCAGAAAAGAAAATCCCTTTGGTACAGCAAAAAAGAAAAGGCCTTTGCTGCACAGCAATCAAAGCATGAAATTTACAGGACAAAGTAAAAAGTATTAAAACCTGCAAGGGAAAAAAGGCCAAGTACTGTATAAAGGTAGACCTACTAGAATTACATTCGACTCCTGAATAGAGACTCCAGAAGTCACAAGGACATGTACAGAGCTGGTGTAGTTATTCTAATATCTGAAAAAGTAGACATTAAACCAAAATTAGTTAAAAGAGATAAGGAAGGACACTTCATATTCATCAAAGAAAAAAAATCCAACAAGATAATCTTTACTTTTTCAACATCTATTGCCCAAGTGAAGGGCACCCACATTTGTGAAAGAAACATTGCTAAAGCTTAAATCACACACCAGCCCTCACACACAGATAGTTGGAGACTTTAATACTACATGCTAACCAATGGACAGGTAATCCAGACAAATATTAAACAGAGAAATAATGAAGCTAACAAATATTATGAACCAAATGGACCTAATAGATATCTACAGAACATTTCACCAAAGCACTAAAGAATATATTGTCAAGAGCCATCTAGGATAGGCTAAGGCCAGCAGATGGTCTTCCTGGAGGTGGCCCACTATTTTTGCATGGTCTGAGATGGATGAGCTCAATGGCAAGGAGATTTCATCTCAGGATTGCTTCTTACCTTTCCTGTCATTATTAAATTAACATAATTATCCCTGGGCATCAGCTCATCCTTTTGATCACATTTCCTAAAGATCAACATAAAGATGAACTTTCACAGATTATTGCTGTTTAGATGAATTAATGATTCTATAGAATTTCTGATTTGATTTAAATAATTTTTGGAAGAAAGTTTTAAGAGATGGTCTTAGTTGTTTTGCTAGAAAGATGTAATAAAGTTAGAATCAAGAAGGGAATGTACCCATTACTCATAAATAGTAAGTAAAGGCTGCATAGTAAGAAATACAATGAGATTTCATAATCACACTAAAAATAAAAATAGGCTTGGGCCAAATTTGTGTTCAAGGAAAAACATTTAGGGCTAAAGATAAAGCACAGGTGTGCACTATGATAAGACAAGGCAATGTAAAAATTGTTGCTTTAAATTCATCATGTGCTTATTAGAATGAAACACTGCTTTGAAGTTAATATCAACATCCTTCTGTAACTCCTATTTTATGTAACACTTTATCTATGAGGTAGTTTTCTAAAGAACCTTTTGTCTAAGATGGTATAAAAAGGCAAGAGAGAAGAAATGAAGTTGTCGGTTGGATGGTTTGGCTTAGGGGCTGGGCTCTGCCCCACCCACCCACCCGTTGATCCATCCACTCATTCATGAATCCATCCATCCATTTAAATGGATATATCTGTCTATATGTACATACCTACATGCGTAGGTATGTAAGTGGATATATATGTTGGTTTGTTCATAGGTACATGTATATGTAAGCATGCTCGCATGAATGCACTTGTGGAGCATATGATATGGTTGGTTAGGCCAAACGAAAATGTGATAATATGTAATGAGGATGAGAATGAAAATGTAAATGTGTCTATGCATATTTGCTTGTGTAAAAGATCTTAATTGTTTTCCTTCCCTTCCTCTCTGGTTCACCATGTGTTAACCAGCCATGCCAGTGAAGAGTTTCTGGCTGCCTGACCAGAAAAGGGAGCACTAGCAATAAATTCTCTATGTAATCTCCTCTGGGTTAGCAACAACTGTCAATAGATCCAGAAGACTGCAGCTTTTGGCCTCAGAGTAACTTAAAAGTCAAGATAGGCATATGTTATGAAAAAAGCAACCCTACTCTCTTGCAAGACTAAGTCTTATCCGTGCCTACGTGCTTCCTCCTTGGCTGCTTCAGAGACCCACTTCTGAGGTAGGCACCTAGCAATATAACTTCTCAGCAAATCATAGAACCTTCTACAAAACTGAACACATATTCAGTCACAAAGCAAATCTCAACAGGCAAGAATGTTGAAATAACCCCCTTCATCATATGAGACCACCGTGGATCAAAGCTGGATTTCAACAACAGAAATAACAGAAACCCTACACTACTTTTACTTTATAAAGTTGGAAATTCTAAACGAAATGTATAGTTTTCTCAATAGATGACACTTACCAATGTTAAATAAAGATCAGATAGACAATTTTAATAGATCTTATACCCTTATGGAAATAGAAGCATTCATCAGAAGTCTTTGAACAGATAAAAGCCCAGGGCTAGATGGATTTAGTGCAGAATTCTACAAGACTTTCAAAGAAGAGCTAATGCCAACAGTCTTCAAATTATTCCACAAAATATAAACAGAAGGAACACTGCCAAATTTTTTTTTCAGGCCGTAGTCATAGCCTTGTAGATGTTGTTTTATTTCCTCAGTTGAAGTGATGAGAGGAGAGCTGTATCCAAGCTATGCAGCCACATGGCTTGGGCTGAGTCTGGAGCATTTCCTAACTATCCCTAGGCCTAGGCTTGGAAACTTCTAGCCTCAATACAATCTCATCTTCCGAGATGACTGTTTCAAACTGCCTTCTCTCAGCTTCTAACGGAATTGCTCTACTTGGCCTCAAACTAACTCTGGCAATCTGTTCTAATCCTCTGGCTCCTTCTCATTCTCTGGCTTGTTTTGTCTTCACCTGAAACCTATCTCGTACAACTGTTCTGATAAAGTTGCCTCCTTCTTCCCTTCTCCTTCCCCTCTTCCTTTTCCTCCTCCTTTCTCCCATTCCTCTCTCTCTGAGGTGTTCTCTTAAGTTGCCTCTCTTTCCTGTCTGTTCTCATGAGAGTTGGGTATATCCTATCTCTGACTCATTTGGTCGAATCTTTGATTCCTCATTTTGTCTGCCTCTAAATTAGACATCACTTTCAAGAATGGGAGATCTTTCCATCTTCTGACATCTTCAATGTTTTTCTTCCATGTCTTGAAGTTTATCCTACAAGTCTTGTTTGGTTAGAGTTAACCCAAGATATTGTGTATTATTTGAGTTTCTTGTGAAAGGTATTAATTTGCTGATTTCTCTCTCAGTCTATTTGTCATTTGTATATAGGAGGGCTCCTGATTTTGTGAGTTAATTTTTTATTTTGCTACTTTTTAAAAATAATTTTTTTTGTGAATTTCACATCATGCATGTCATTCCCACTCATCTTCCCCTCCCCTCTACCTGCCTTCCACTTTTGCAACCTACCTGAAAATAGCGAAAAAAAATCTTATGGAAGCTGTAGTATGTCACCGTGTGTCCCACAGTATACCCTTTTGCCCACACTTCTTTGCTTGGAAATGTTCATTGTGATTACTCATTGGTTTGGTTTGAGACCTCTGGCTTCTGCTACTCTGTCAATACTGGAACCTCATTGGGACTCATCTCAGATATCCTGTTGTTGCCCTGGGTCATGAAGGCTCTGTAGTTTTGGATCTGTAGGACCAGACCCTTCATACACTCCAGAAGTTCATCAATGGGATAGATGTTGGGGTGGGCCAACTCAAAACCCTGGGTCTGTGCCTGAGAGGTACCTGAGATAGTCATCCAGCCTGCTCTCCCACTCTCATGCTTTTGGGGTCAGTTCACCATCATTCTTAGTACAACCAGAGCCAGTTATATCCTGCTGGCCAGGCGAGGTACAGGGTCCAACTGCCTGAGTGTTACAACCCAGTGAGGAACAGGGAAAGCTTTCCTGTTCTCATGACTTCAGGACAAACTCCACCCCTTCCCATAGGTGGCAAGGGGCAAGGGTTAGGGTTTGTCCATGGTGCTGCATAGCAGAAGCAGACAAGATGCAGGGTCAGTTCTCCCACTCTCTCTAAGTCAGCTCACCTGCACTCCTGTCATCATGGTCAGCTCTACTCTACTGCCCAGGTAAGGTGCAGAACCTACTCTCCTGAGTGTTGCAGTGAGTGAAGGGCAGGGCCAGCTCTTCAACTTTGATGACCTCATGGCTAGCTCTCTTGCTTTTTGTAGGTGACAAGGAGCAAGGGGTGGGGCATGTCTCTCTTACCCATATCACCCCATGGCAAACAAGTGACACAGCCAACTCTCTGAGTGTCTGGGATCATCTCAGGAGTGGTCTCAGGTGTGCTATGCCCTGCTCATGCATTACGGTGCTGGGCAGGGGCCATCTTGGGCATAGTATGTCTCCACAGGCCTTCTTGATACTAGACTAATGGTAATCTCAGGCTAACTCCTTGTCCAGGCTCCATATTGCTCATCTGTTGGTTGTCTGAGGCTGGCTCCTTGCTCACCTGACTGCCTGATTGACTCCTTGCAAGGGTCAATCTGTCTCACCCTCAAAACTATCCTGCCTGTGGTCCCAGACAGGCCTCTTCTAGTCTCTGGTTCAGTCCTCATCCTGGGAGCCTGTCTGGGCCTGCCTGGCTCAGGACTGGTGCTCCTCTCAAACTTGCAGTCTTTCAGGGAATGTTAGGCTACTAATCATTCAGATGTTCATTGGTCAGAATACTGAGTGTGGGCATCATTTCTCTCTTCTCTGCTACCTACTGAGCAACACATGACACAACAGGCATACATGGTATCTTGCTATTTGTCTGAACTTGTTTATCAGCTGTAGGAATTTCTTGGAATTCTTAGTGTCAGTATGTGTGCTATCATAGAATTTGCAAATACAGATATTATGACTTCTTTATTTCCAGTTTGTACCTTCTCAATCTCCTTCAGTTGTCTTATTGCTAAGAGGTCAAGTACTATATTGAATAGCTATGGAGAGAGTGGACAACCTTGTCATGTTACTGATTTTAGTGGATTTGGTTTCAGTCTCTCTCCATTTAAGTTGATGTTGGCTATGGCTTGCTGTAAACTGCCTTTATTCTGTTTAGGTATGTCTCTTGTATCTCTAATGTCTCTGTGGCATTAATCATGAAGAGGTGATTAATTTTGTTAAAGGCCTTTCCTTCATCTAATGAAATGATTATGGGTTTTTTTGACTTTCAATTTGTCCTGCATTTCTAGGTTTAAGCCTACATGTTTATGGTGGATGGTCTTCATGATATGTTCATTGATTTTGTTTGCAAGTATTTTTTTGAGAATTTTTGCATCTATGTTCATAAGGAAAATTGGTATGTAATTGTCTTTCTAAGTTGTGTCTTTATATAGTTTGGATATCAGGGTAACTCTCGCTTCATAAAACAAATTGGACAATGTTCCTTCTGTTCTTGTTTTGTGGACTCATTTGAGGGGCATTTATGTTTGTTAACTCTTCTTTGAAAGTCTGGTAGAATTCTGCACTAAAACAATCTTGCCCTGGGCTTTTTTTTCTCTGAGACTTTTAAAAAATTTAAATTATGTATTATATAATATAATATAATATAATATAATATAATATAATATAATATAAT